CCTACTTTGCCCTCGAACGACACTGCCGTTATTCGAGCTTTCCCAGCCGATGAAAGAGGAATTTGCTTGATTTGCAAGACGAAACACGCATTCAACGGAAGTTGTGTTAATTTCCACTCCCAGATCTCGCTCAGGCTCGCAATCGATTCTCTCAGAGATCACACAGACCATCGCGCTTACCGAGATATGTGTATTAATCAGCTAAGACAACTAACCGGGCCATGAAGTTTCTGATACCGAAGAAGCTCATTGGCAAACTGAGCTCGATTGAGTACGCATCCTTCGCGCATTTCATCTCCAACGGATTGCCTGTAGATAGATCAAATCATGTACTGCTTGCTTGAGGGCTGCCTCAGGGAAGCACCCTGCCATTGTTGCTATTGGCCACACACCTTTCCTGCCTTAGCACAATAGACAGATATGTAGTCGATGAATTCACATGAATTAAAAAAAGAATTGCCCCCCATATTTGATTTACAGCTAACTACCCAGATATGTAAGACATTTTCAAGGTTTTTGTCTGTCGCCCAACACCTGGCAGCATATAGACCGTTTGTCACGTGGGAAACACAAGACATTGCTGCAGGTAACCGAAGAATGCATCTAACCTTATTTGAGGTTTCGCAGCAAACGGTTGTGATAGTACTGTGTGTACCTATGTGTGCGTAGGGCGTGCGTAGGTGCGGTGTGCAATGCTAGCTTGCCCAACTGGAAGAAATACCTTAGCAACCCTGGGGCCTTATCTTGCCGCTTAAAAGAGCATGCTCCTTTCTCTTCCTGGTGATCCCATCCATGCCTTTTCTAATGATCGCTTATTCGGTGGTATCGCCAGGGGCCATATTAATCTAAACAGCCTTCCCGTCTTAGATCCCGTCTTGGTATTACTCTCCCGAAGTCGCTGACCCGGTTCACATGCCGGTATAAATAAAACGGCTCGTAGCCCCTTTCCCTTTCCCTTCGGAATTTTGATCTGCCCGTTTGCTACTAGGCTGCCTTCCTTTGATACTCTCCTATCATCACCTAAAGTTTATGCGGTAGTCCTTCCTTTATCGAAATTGCCAGCTGCTTTTTCTGCCCTCTTATTCCTTTACCTTCAGAATGGAATCTGGAAACCTAACTTCTTCCTCTTCCTCCCCCTCTTCTTCTTCACCCACTTCCCACCACGCACCTTCTACTTCCGCAACAGCACCCACAGCAAAGTCTCTCTCTGACTTGTCTTACACTACTTCCGGTGCCTCTCCTTCACTTTCTTCCTCCCGCAACACTTCACCTGATTCCATCACAGTCACTCATTCTTCATCTCCATCGCAGCAATCAGCACTGGTAGATATTACATCAACAGTCGATCTGCACAGCAATCCTAACTCGTCTTCGGTTCCCAAGCAAGACTCTAAAATGGATCGCAACCCTTTCCAATCCGTCAACGAACGCCGCAACAAGCTCTCCGCGGACCACACCGCCAACGCCAACGGCGACACCCAGCAGCAGTCGTCTCCCTCGCAGGCACACTTCCCGTCTCAAGCTCTGCGATCTAACATGCAGCAGCTTGTCACTTCCTCGCGAGGCCTCGCCTCTTCTAACTGGCGTTCGCAGGGCAACGGCGGCGCCGCCGACGAACAGTCCTACGGCACCCCATCCTCTCGCGGCAGCAGCGGCGAGTACTCGGCCACGTTCGACGCCGCCATCGCCGCCAACATGGCCGCTCCCCTCCCCCACCCCAGCACCATCCTACGTCAGGTATCGCAGCAGGCCTCACCCAGCTACGTCAGCCCCCGCGCCGACCACTATCCCCAGCAGCAGCTGGACTTCCTCTCGGGCGTCGCCACCACCCCCACCCACAACAACAATATCGCCAACAACTCTTCTACGATCGGCGGAATGAACGCGGCGGCTGACGGATCGCCTACGGGAATGCACTTTCCGAACGTGGGCATGGAGGGCATCTACGCGTACTGCTTCGACCGCGGCAACGGCCAGTACACGCGTCTCGTGCCCGTGGACATGCTGCCCGCTCTGAAGGACATCCCCGCTTTACAGCAGGGCTGCGCTGGCATGATGGTCCTGCCTCTCCCACGCGGAGTGCCGCAGGGCGGCCGTTCGAGCAACACCGAGTTGATCGCGCTTAAGGTACGTTACTACTTTCCTTCTATTTCCCTACTATTTTCCTATTTTCCTATCCTATTTCACTTCTTTTATGACGAGCACACGGTGATGAGATGTGGACGGGGATGTGATCTACGAGTACTACGATGAGTCATGTCATATGCGGATATGATTGTGATGGATGTCGTGTCGTATTTGACGTGGACCCGGTTGGCTTACGAGCATCCGCAGAGCCCGCCAAACACCCCCCCGAACTCGTCGAAGGACACTATTCAGGTAAGTACCGGATACTTTCGAAGTGCCTTCCCCGGAAAACGCCAGTGTACCTTCCCTTCCTACTCGTCGAATGTCAAAATTTCGTCGTGACTTCCCGTTTGGCATCGGCAGTTTCGGGGCAGCCGCGATGTTGGGAAGGTACAAACGCGGCTTCTAGGTCGGGCTCTGGTCATCTGATTCGTCGGGCTTTCCTTTGTTCTCGTTTCCACTTTCCGTTTTTGCTGTCCACGCTATTTCGATTTTCCCGATGCCAGATGGCAGGCGTCATGTGTGACATGTCAAACACGTGTATATCTCATATCACATGCCACTTATGAGCATGAGTTTGACCACGGTCTTTCAACACAAGCTAACATGTCCTCTTCTCTCAGTCCCGTATCGACACTATCGTCGCATCGACACCCCCCACCCCGCCTCACCACCAGCACTCCCTCTCGGGAAGCATCGGCGGGGTATCCACGGCCCTCGTGAGCACAGGCAACGGCGGCAGCGGCACCTCCTACACGGTCTCGCACCCCTTCGACAACCCTCCCGGCGTTAACAGCCACAACGGCCATCACAACAACAATGGCCACCACCACTCCAACAACGGCGGTCACAACAACGGCGGTAGCGGCCACGGACGCAACGGCCCAGGAGGTCAAGGAACTCACTCGGGCCACGGCGGAGGCGGGCAGCAGCCGCAGCGCCGGCCGAAGGTGTACTGCGACAAGTGGGTGCACGAGGGCGTGTGCGCGTTCACGCAGCAGGGCTGCAAGTACAAGCACGAGATGCCGTTCGACAAGGTGACGCAGCACGCGCTCGGCCTGTTCCACGGCTTCCCCGCCTGGTGGAAGAAGCACCAGGCCGACCTGTCGCGCCAGCGCGACGGCCCCGGAGTCGTGCCTAGTCTCGGCATGGGACCTAGCGGTACCGGGCTGGGAATCACGGGTGGGATGAATGGCGGTGGTGAGGGCGGTGGTGGTGCCCAGGATTTGGCGGGGTTGGGAGCGGGTCGGTACATGGGACGTGGTGGCGCTCCGGGATCTGGTTCTGGTACTGTGATTGGTTTCATTGAGAGTAAGGGCGATGGTCCGGGAATGGCTTCGAGCCCAACTACGCCTGGCTTGCCTTCTTGGCGTCGTGGTGGCGAGCAGCATTCGGCTGAGCAGAAGACGTTGGGAACTGGTCGTGGCATAGCCCGAGGTGTGACCTCTGGTATGCGAAACCCGATGGGTAAGTTGCAATCCTATTTATGATTCCCATTCTTTCTTTCATATAACTAACTCGTCTTTGCAGTGCCGTACGGTTCTCCTTTCGGACCCATCGCACCTCCGGCTCGCACTTTCAGCACCGGTCCATCGGCCAACGCCAACCCGTACTCGTCCCTCGAGTCTCTTGAGGAGACTAAAGTCACCGCTAACAGCGGTGAAGAGGAGCCCGCAGCCGAGACTTCACGCTCTAGCGGAGCGCGTTTGAACTAAGGACTATAAAACTAGAACAACGATCTAGTCGAATAACCCTTATACAAACTAAAGTATCTCCGGTTCGACGGGAAATAGGAAGGAGCATCCACACAGCATACGTTGGCGCTGCGGCGCAAATCTCGCACATCTCCTTCGGAAACCGAATCTCCATTTGCACTTACCAACAGCATATTTGCATCATCTCTTACCCATTGCTTGAAAATTTCATCTGCGCGCGTTCAGTTCACGGATTTCCATTTCCCCTTCTCGGATCGCAATGAGGAGCAATCAAAAAAAGCAAAGCAAAAATCGGCAATTTCCTATGTTCATCGCACGCACGCATGCACGACACGATAACGAGCTAGACTGAAAAAAAGACATCTATCCGGGCGGCCCCAGCTGTCGTTCCGCGCAGATCGAGGTTCTCGCGAACCGATGATTCACGATTGCATCAAAACGTTCAATTTCTCTTCCGGCGTTCTCATCCTCGGAGTTTTAAGGGGGAGAGGGCAAGGAAAAAGTTATTCGTTCGCGTCGTTTCGACGGAGAAAGGAGGAGGAATAGTAGAAAAATCGGGTGAAATGGATAAAAAAGGGGAGGAACACTTGCAGGTGTATAAATAGCTTACACAGACTGGCACAGACACATACATACTAGGGCATTCACATCCATTTAGCAATGGACTAAATACTACGTTGACTTTCAGCTATTAAATAACGGTCGCGAGGAACGAGTTGCGTGGAGTTGCGTAGATATGTGCTTTTACTCGTAGTCAATTGAGATGAGGTCTGCATTAAAACTAGGACAATGTGGGAGATATTTTCTGCAGGTACTACTTCATGAGCCCGTGAGACCAGCGCCCTCGTATGATTGGCAACTTGGAATCCGATCTTGACCAGTCTACAGACATTCGTATTTTTACGATGATCTTGTGAATTTCAATGTCCGAGATGACGACATGCATATTAAGCAGTCCAATCAGTATATTATCATGTCGCCGTGGCTAACGCATAGCGCCCGTTATTGGTACGGACTTGGTATAGCCAAGCCCCGTATTACCTTCAACTCCGAATTGTGGGTTTATGACTAAAATTGGAGAGTTACTACTTAGATTAGGTTAAGGCGGTAGATTTTCATTCGCCACTCCAAGTGGTCCGACAATTTGCAAAGATTTCAGCCCGTCTAGCTCACCGGTAGAGCGCCTCACTAGTAGGCTCCTCTCTACTGAAATGAGGAGGCAACAGGTTCGACTCCTGTGATGGGCATTTCTTTTTAGCTTTTTCTTGTTCTTCTCGTGTAGTGCGTATCTTCTTAAAAGTCTGACATGACATGTGGGCTTTTTGTTACCATTTTTAAAAGAAGGTGAAACATTCAAGTATAAAGTTATACAAATGCATAAATTAAGGGGTTCCTCACCGGTCAGCAGCAACATCCATGATAGTCAAAGTTCAGGCTGTATTGTAATGCTACATACGGCCTACACACACACCCAAATCTTTCCCAGTTTTTTGAGGCCATGATATCGGATATTGTGAGTTTCATTTTATATTCTTGCCTAGTACATTAACAAAGACGCATCTTATAAATAGCTCGCCAGTCTACCTTCCACTGCCACAGCGCACCTACACCAATCATAATGATTAGCTCACAAGATCGAATAAGCAAGCCCTCGGGGGCGCCGATATGTCTCGGATATGCAGAGAAAATTCACTCATTCAGCCAGCCCATCTAGCAGCTCGTAGAAGTGTGGCTTTTAATAGCTACAGCCAGCCCCTCTTCAAATGGAAAACTCATGTCCTAGCTATCATATCGACATACAATTTCCATCATTGCCTCCGATGGCATGAGTTTCTATCATGGACCCCACAGCAATACTAGGTCTAGTCTGTAACGTGTTAGATCTAGTTGAAAAAACATACAAATGCACTAAGAAGGCGAAAGAGATCTACGACTCGGCTACTGGTTTGCAAAAGGAACATGAACAATTATCCCAGCTCACCAGTGAGCTAAACATTATATTTGACCAGGTTCAAAGTTGCCATAGGGACTTACAGAACCCTAAGATCGATGACATCAACATCAAGGATGTGGCCAGCGAGTGTCAGGATCTCTCATCGAATATTAATAAGTTACTAAATCAATGTCAAGCCAAAAAGCCTGCTTCGATCAAGCATGCAGTTGGCGCGGTTATAAAAGGCGCATGGAAAAAAGATGAGCTTCAAGCCATCCAAACCAACCTGGAAAAACGTCGACAGGCACTTCATCTAGCTCTTACGTCCTCTGCAAGGTACGTTTGGCTCTGAATTTAAATAATTAGAACTTTTTTGCATCTCATCTGGTAATCTTTGTTGATATTATTTCTGGGAGAAGTCAAGAATTACCAAAGGTAGTTGTGTATATTAACCATGGAGTCAACAGATTCCAACTCATCAAGATCGAGAAAGCCCTCGAAGAAGAACACGTCCAAAACCATGAATTAAAGCAACAACTCGGTGACATTTCACAGCAATTAAACCCTTTGGATAATGTACCCCATCAATTACAACAAGCTTTGGACCTCGGTCGTCGGGCGCAAAAGGCGCGAGAACTCCAGCATATCCTTCAGATACTAGGCGATGGATATAATGGCATGAAATCGAATCCTAGATATGACGAAGTTCATGATGCTCACCAAAATACCTTCGAGTGGATTTTCTGCGAGCCGGAAAAGATTTTCAGAGTTGAATCGGGCCTCAAAATGTCGTTCGTCGACTGGCTACGCGAGGGCAGAGATATCTTCCACGTTCTTGGGAAACCCGGATCTGGTAAATCGACATTGATGAAATTCGTTTGGAACCATAGAGTAACGAAGGAAAAGTTGGGGGAATGGGCTGGCCAATCCCAACTCCTCTGCTTAAGATACTTCTTCTGGAGACACGACAATAATCAGAACAGTCTGCAAGATCTGAGACGTTCTCTACTCAGTTCTACCTTGAAACAAGCCCCTGATCTCTTAGACTTACTTCTACCTGAACTCGATGAACACAGCACAATGCTCGATGAATACCTCAGCAACGATGAAATGCATAAAGCATGTGAAAGGCTCATGCATGAGTCTCGCATCCTAGAACGACACAAGGTATTCATACTGATTGACGGCCTCGACGAATTTGACGAGAAAAGAAATGCCGAAGACTACGATGATCTGGTGAGAGTCATCCAAGGTTGGGCTTCTCAGCCAGAAGGGAAGGTTAAAGCCTGTGTTTCCAGCAGAGAATACACTGCTTTTAGGACCGTTACCCGTGACCTGAAATTTCACTTGCAGAATCTCACGAGGGAAGACATGCAGATCTTCGTTACTAAGCGCTTAAACGAGCACCCCCAATTTCCTAAACTTAAAGATGCCTGCGAGCGAAATACCGAAGCCTTCTGCAAATTTCCAACATGGCACCATAAGTGTAATCTTGACTGCTTCATAGAACACATCGTTGATGCAGCTCATGGTGTCTTCCTTTGGGCCCGATTTATGATATTAGAAATACGGAGGCATCTAGAAAGAAACTTACACTGGCTGTGGAAACTCGTTGACGCCCAACCCGCGGAATTGACAGATTTTGTGAGGCAAATGTTCGATTCGATATCCCCACCATACGAACGAGAATCATATATTATACTGGCTATTGTCCATCGTTATTCAATGATAGACGTGTATGCTGCATATTCTCTGTCAATTAAGGGGGCATCCTATTTATGGAACAAGTTACTTCAAGATAGACAGGAGTCAAGTTTCCCGAAATCTGATTCTAACGGGCAAATCAACTGGGATATCTTTTCCGACGAAGAGGTCGATGCTCGCTTCAACGGTTTACTTGAACATTCTCCGAGAATACTAGAAGCAGAAGATTGGACAGATTTCGTTGTTACCCACCGTTCGATTATCGAAGTCTTGCATAAAAATATCGACGCAAAACTACACAAACATAGCATAACCCAGATGGAGTTAGGCAAATGCATTTGTCAAGTTTTTCTCGGTGATATGAATTACTTACTAGGGGAAAGACAAAAAGGCGTTGATGATCAAGTTTTTGCTGGTCCTATCCACAAGTCAGTTTTGAATACTCTAGAAGCATTGGAGAGCATGAACGTACTGGGAGAGCCTTGGTGTATACAACAACTAGATCATCTAGAAGATTTATGTCAGGCGGCTCGACTTGACTTCCCAGATCATTTGGATTTCAGATACGGAACTTTTAAAGTGTCAAAGCCTCTTTCTTTTCTTCACTATGCTGTTCGTTACAATATGCATCAATGGCTACATTGGGTCATGAAAAGGCTAGCTAATGAACCTAAACGAGGATATACAGCCTCGCGAATCACTGCGGTATCTTCACTTATATATGATAGGGAATATATTTTCCTAACAGCGCTTCTTGAAAATGGATACGTCGGCGGCGATATACTTGGAAGTGGTGCCGAACAGCAGATGTTTAATCACAGGTGTCATACTACTGTACCATGGCTTCTTTCTCTTTGGGATGATATACAAGAAAACCGACTCGGTTTTCATTTGGAACATTCGAGAGCCTTCGAAATTTGGTTAGAATTCGGGGCCAATCCTCGGATCTGTATATCTCAAGAGGGAAAGAGGACAGTAATAGTCAATGTTGATGGAAGACGGTGGTGTCGATTTGGTAGTGGTTACGCACCTGACTCTGTAAAGGGCTACAGCAGGATATCTTTTCAACCACCTTCACCGCAGGAACGCGAAAAGACACTCAGATATTTCGTCGAACGCTCAGACGTCCCTAACAAAGAGCGGCTACTCGAGCTCATAGACCGGAATATCACTTGGATGGAAGAAGACGAGGCAGAAGAGACCCTAGCGATTCTCAAAGAACTTCCATCAGAAGACGTATTTGAGGTTCCCGACTACGTACCCCCACACAAGACAGCGACGACTATCTTGAGAGCCTTTATCCAAAAGCTACGCTACGTGTTCTTGAGGACCAAGCACAAAGCCAAATATGCAAGATTCCGTGTTCGCGTGGTATACAGGAAGCACCTAGGCCCGAAGAACATAGGGATGATCCTATTGGCGTTATTAGTCCTGGCTATGTTGATTGTTATAGCCCGGAGTATCATGCCAGATTCGAACCGTTTGGGAAAGGGGGGTGGCGTTCTTCAACACATCCATGATGAAGGAATTGATCGAGATAGCCCCTAAGCCATACGGAGCACTCACTCACTCATTTCATGGAAACCACCCAACAGGAGTGTTCGAGGTAGAGCAGCAGCATGGTACAGGAGAGGTGGGGGTTGGCGGTAAAGGGGCGGTAGGGAAGAGAACGGGTTTTTTTCCTATCCAGGGTTATTGGCGTTACTTTCCTAACCTTTCTTACGAGTATAGATTAGCAGCAACCATCACTGATTGAGTAAACGCTGTTAAAGAGCAACGGGTAGATGATTTATCAGAAGATTGAATAAAATTTATCCTTTTTTTTACCTTGAATTCGAGGTCATCTTACGTTGTCCCAAAAGAGAGTAAAGATAAAAAACCATTTAGTAAACCACGACTGACCAAACTCCCTACTAATGATCAAGACACGATCCCACCAACTTCCGGCATTAAAGCCTAGTAGGTAGGTAACTGACATCCATGGATATTCTGCGTTCACTAAACCGTAGAAAGCCTCAGAAATACCACGGCCCCAGCTGAGCACGTACCCAAAAATGATATATGATAGACAATCCTGAGCGCGCTTCCCTCTTACCTGTAGGGTTAGCTGCCTGCCTAAGAAATGCACATACATTGCTAACGCACACCCCTAACCGAATCACATGACGCAACACCTACCCTACCCCAGCAAAGCACAGTAAAAGCAAAAGCAACTTCTCAAGGCTTCCAAGACTTCACATTCACAAAACACCAAACGTACTTGGGGATATTCTCTTATTCTCTTCTCACAACTACCTACGCCCCTCCCCTCCCTCACCCCTCACCCCGCTCACCTCCCCACCGAGGTGCCTAGGGGAAGCAGGGCAATCCGGTATGGAGGCACATACAACATACACAAACACAGCGACGTGGTATACAACGAGTAGGGATATCCTCCCCCATCCCCTCCCCTCCCTTTATCCCCATCTCCCCTCTATCCTCACTCACCAGTTCGCTTTCCTCCCGGATATCTATCTATTCCCAAATGCATCAAAAGCCGCGGCTGCTTTCCTTCTCAGCTCCCCTTCTCCTGTCCATATTCATCGCATTCACGCGCGGAGGGGAGAGAGG